GGCTCGCCTCGGCAGTATGACAAGTTGTCACTCCATCCATCCTCTTATCTTTATTAGGTTCGTGGGGGGGCTGGAGGCTATCCCAGATGTTATAGGGCAAAAGGCAGGGTACACCCTGGACAAGTCGCCAAGTCTATCCCAGGGCTAACACAGAGAGACAATCAACCATTTGCACTCACATTCACACTTATCGGTAATTTAAAATCACCAATTAATCTGACCCCACTAACTACCTGTCTTTGGACTGTTGGAGTAAACCAGAGTACTCAGAGTGTCAAGAACTAAGGTTCACATGCAAAGATGGGGCCGAATACGAAATTCGCGGGAACTATGTATAGATTTATTTCTTTAACATAAACGATCAGGAACCACCAAGGAAACAAGAATATAACTCAAGCCAAGGAAATCGGGAACTGAAATGCCCTGGGAAGCTGTGATTGAGACCGTGGGAAGAATCAGAGTTGGGGGAGGGTGTCCGTGGGAAAAATCCTAGGAGCGAGAGTTCTCTCGCACACAGAACAGGCAGGACGACAGGCAGCGAATGTCTTCAACTGCCGGATGGTGACCGGGGCACAAGTGTGTAATATTAACACGGGTCAAAGAATACTTGAATAAACTCAGAGCTTAGGAGAGCCAAGTTACCACCAAGAGTGACTAACAGACTGGCATGGAGGAGCTGTCCGTGCTGGGTGAAATAGTCCTCCTGCAATTGCCTGGGATGGAATACAGGTGCAATGCCGGTGCCTGACCCGAGGGCATGGTCACCCAAACACTCCCCGGATACTGTTCTCACGGACCATGACACAGAGAGAACCCACGCAAGCACGGGGAGAACACACAAACACACAGAAACAGTGCTATGCATGATTTTTAACTGTGGGAGGAAACCAGAATACCCAGAGAGAAACCACTGCAAACTAGTCAGAACGTGGATTTGAACCCAGGACCTTCTTACTGTGAAGCAACAACACTAACCACCATGCCAACAATCTAGGAAATACAGGGAAGCTATGAGTTCCTGTATTTGATGCAGACTTTTTTTGTTTTTGTCCTTGACAGGTTAATCCACAATAAATAGCAATAGCATGCACGTGGTGTGTGTGTAGTTGTCTGCCTCTTATAACTCCAGTGATTTTCCTGCAGTTTGAAATCTTGTGCGATCTTGTGAATTTCATGAGTTCAGCAACTAACCACTCTCACTAGATTGTATCATGTCATCTCAACAAGAACAAATTAAGTTGTTGAATTTCATACAGATCCTTCATGATTTAATTACATTCATAGAAACATGAAATTATTGTGTTCAAATTACAAGTTGGACTTTTTAATGTAACAACCACCCAATTTACTTTTTTCGGTATACCAAAAAAAGTAGAGGTGGCTGCTTGACTTGACTGAGATGGATGCCTT